CTTCTTCTGCTTACCTTGGCGGCGGCGTCGACGTGGACTCCGGGGGCCCTTGGAGACAAGTTACCTGGCGGAGGCCACGGCGGCGGAGGCCACGGCGGCGGAGGACCAGGAAGGGGAACCGGCAGACGCGGACAGACTTCGGGGACAGCCTCACAGAGTTACGGACTTCCTCAGCAGGGTTTCTCGTCAGGGCGCAGCGGGCACGGGAGCGCCGGCGGGTCTGGCGCGGGGCTCTCCTCGTCCTACTCTCAGTCGTCAAATTCCCTCGCAAATGGAGGAAGTTCTAGCTACGACTTGCCTGACGAGATCACAGCCCCGGGCCAGGCCTACGGCGCTCCCTCGCAGCAGACACAGACCGCACAGTCACCCAGCCAGACGTACGGACAGCCTAGCAGGGGTCAGACCCAGACTGTAAGTCAGACATATAGTACACCACAACAGACACCGACTATTTCACAGACATACGACGCACCCCAGTCCTCCAGGATCAGCCAGGTGGGTCAGAAGATTTGCGCTTTTAACTTCGAAAATTATTATATTATATTATTGTGTCACAGTAATTCTAAACCATAGCCGGTGAGAGTACATCGAAAGACACCCGATTAATGTCAATTGCACAGAATTGCGCTTCATAACATCCCTGACAGATAATTCAAATGCGGAAGTCTTTGGTATGCTTCAGTTTTTCAAATCCTACGAAAACAGTTTGATTAGATATTGAAATAGGCCATTAAATAACCAGTAGATACTAATCATCATACATAAAATCATGCAATGAATTATATATAGATTCAATCAGGATGTAAAACTATGACAGTGGTTACACATCCGTTACTAATAGGTCATGTAACAAAAAAAGGTCTGGCTGCGAATTTAACATTGTCCACCATTCTATCCTACACCTACCTCAATACACGCAAATAATTATAAGCAGCTGTTAGTTTAAGGCAGGCATCAGTGAAGGTGAGTCCTTAGACTAAAGAATTGCTATGAATTTAAATAACTTTTACTTCACCCTTGATATCTAACTGCATATCTTGTAAGTCACCTTTTCACCATAAGAAAACATGCATCTGTAGATATACAAAACATGAATTGATCACATTATATTGTGTAAAGAGTAGATTTGCATGTTTATGGTGTATTTTTCGTGAGTATGTAAGATCCTAAAATCTCTTTTATAGCATGCGTCCAAGGTACATTCCAATGTATTCATTTTTTCTTCTACATTGTGTTCCTTTCGTCTCAAGTTAGCTTAGACATTATACACCTTTTCATAATGATATACTATGTATAATAAAGTCTGAGCAGGTATACATTCGTTAAATATGACATGAGTAAGGCATGTTAAAGGCAACGTATTTGAAATATGGTTCTTTTCCTGCCAGAGTCCTTCTCAGACTTATGGGGCTCCTCAGCAACAACTCTCACAAACCTATGGCACACCTAGCAGGCAGCAGCAGCCCTCTCAGAGTTATGGAACTCCACAACAGCAGCAGCCGTCTCAGAGCTATGGAACTCCACAGCAGCAGCAGCCGTCTCAGAGCTATGGAACTGCACAACAGCAGCAGCCGTCACAGAGCTATGGAACTCCACAACAGCAGCAGCAGCGTCACAGAGCTATGGATCCACAGCAGCAGCAGCCGTCACAGAGCTATGGAACTCCACAGCAGCAGCAGCCGTCTCAGAGCTATGGAACTCCACAGCAGCAGCAAGAGCTATGGAAGCAGCAGCATAGTCACAGAGCTATGGAACTCCACAGCAGCAGCAGTCACAGAGCTATGGAACTCCACAACAGCAGCAGCAGCCGTCACAGAGCTATGGAACTCCACAGCAGCAGCAGCCGTCACAGAGCTATGGAACTCCACAACAGCAGCAGCAGCCGTCACAGAGCTATGGAACTCCACAACAGCAGCAGCAGCCGTCCCAGAGCTATGGAACTCCACAGCAGCAGCAGCCGTCACAGAGCTATGGAACTCCACAGCAGCAGCAGCCGTCACAGAGCTATGGAACTCCACAGCAGCAGCAGCCGTCACAGAGCTATGGAACTCCACAGCAGCAGCAGCCGTCACAGAGCTATGGAACTCCTCAGCAGCAGCCGTCTCAGAGCTATGGAACACCAAAACAACAGCAGCAGCCGTCCCAGAGCTATGGAACTCCAGAGCAGCAGCAGCCGTCACAGAGTTATAGAGCCCCAGAGCAGCCCTCTCAAAATTATGGAGCACCCGAACAGCCGTCCCAGAATTATGGTGCTCCCCAGCAATCACAAAATGGTTATGGCCAGAGACAAAATGCGAACAGGTCAGGTGCCAGGCGAAATAATAACGGAGGAAACAGATATGGAGGGCGCCAGAACAACGGTGGGGGAAATGGATTCGGAGGCAAGCAGAATAGAGGCAGCAACACTGGTTATGGAAGCCAGCAGAATGTTGGCAACAATGGATACGGGGGCCAGCAGAACGGAGGCAACAGTGGGTATGGGGGCCAGCAGAACGGAGGC